GATCTTGATTCTTAGATAATAATAACTTGAGATTCTTTTGAATCAAGATTGTTTAATATGATTCTTCTTTTCATATCTAAAAGAATCATAATTTGTCTCTTGATATTCACAACTTAAAATTTATTTTCATGAATTGTATATCTCATCACCAAGTTAATTTTTCTTGATATATTTCATATGATGATTTGAAAAATGATGTAATGAGAAAAGTTTTGCACTATTGTAACCATTCATTCTTTTTGACAATGATAAAGGGGGGAGCAAAACTTGCTAGCTTGCTCATCTTAAAAAAGAAGCAAGAAGTGCTATCTTGCAAATCTCAAGAGAAGAAAAGTTTGCTAACTTACATATTTCAAGAAGATGCAAAAACATGCTATCTTGTACATCTCATAAAATAAATATATTTTTGCTAATTTTCATATCTCTAAAACTTACTAAGTTTGCATGTTCTATAGTGAAGTAGGAATTGCATGTTTCAAAAATATACTAGTTGCACTTTTCTCATTTTTATTGATGACAAAGAGGGAGAAATGTATGATGATGATTTGAATCATGCATGATATGATGCACTTTAATTATGTATACAATACTCATGATAATGATGTACCTTTCGACATAATGTGCTTTTCAATGATGCACTTCTTGATGATGGTATAATTGTCACAACCTAGGTCTGATGGGTTAACTGGCCTATCAACTTTGTTTAGTCTAAATCACTGACCAAAATACGTAAGTTGAAGTTGATAATAGTACACTCATCAAACCCTTATAAATCAATCTTAATCTTGCCCACTTCCGATGTGGGACTAATCAGGGGTATTACAATAATACATGCAACACTCTAAGAATTAGGCATGATAAATATTTTAAATGCATAAATTCCTTGATACATTTTTTGAACTTCTCAGTTTTTTGTAACTTGAGTTTTCTTTTTAAATCGAGATCGCTTTTTCTTTCTCGTGATATTTACAAAAGAAAAGATTCCACTTTTGGTATTTATAACTTGATGTCTTATTTTCATGTGATGATCATGAGTCCTTCCTCCTTCTATTTGCAAAGGAAGAGCCATGATTCATGGATTTTTAGATTAATGACTTGATCTTTTATCAATTCTTATGAATCCTTTTTTCTTTTATTTACAAGAAAAAATATTTTATTTATTCATGGATTTTTTATCCTTTATTTGATGATCCTCTCCCATGAATTCTTCCTCACTCTTCTCACGAAAGAAGAATTTTTATTCATGGACTTTTAATATGTGATGATCATTTGCAATAAAAGGGATTTGATTTTTTGGTACGGACATCTTGATCCTTTATGATGAATCCTCTCTCTTTGCTATAGTAGAAGCTTGATTTAATGAAACTTAACTTTCATGAATTTGGTTCTTGATGGAGAATAAATTCCTCCCTTAATATTCTTCCTCTTCTTCTTATTTTTATAACAAAGGAAGAAAGACACTAGCACATATCAAGAAGAACCAAAAAAGCTTTTGCACATCTAAAGCAAAAATGCTAGCTTGTCCATTTCAAAAACCAAAAGTAGTTATCATGCAAAGTCTTTGCTTAACTTCTCTTTTTTTTTCTAGCTTGGATAAATTGGTGTAGAATTTACTTGAATATTTTTTTTTTAAACACTTGTATTGTTAAATGGTTCTCTTTTTTCTTGATGACAAAGGGGGAGAAATGTGGCAAATTGATGACAACTTTGCATTATGAATATTTGAAATAATGTGTAAAATGTATCGTATCGTAAATGCGTATTACAAATGCTTGAAAATATGGTTGGTATTGTCAAATACATCACAAATACTTAAAAAATATCAAAATATATCGCATATGCATCGTATGTATCATAGATACTTGAAATGTATCATGAATGCTTGAAATGCATCGTAATGTAGCATGGATACTTAAAAATGTTTCATGCTTGATTTAGTACCATTGTGATGAGGTATCAAACTTATCATTCTTAATTTCCTATTTACAATTAGTATAATGCCTCGGATTGATGAATTGTCGTCTTTTATCAAACTTGAAATTTGAATCTTGCTAAATTTCATATTTGAAATTGGTATGATGCTTGAAAATAATGATTGTCTATCATCATTCGATATTGGACTTGACAATGGATGTCATGCCTTGACATCATTTTTATTATGATAAATATGTGGTATCATATTTTGAAATGATAAACCATGATTAGTATCATGATGTGCATATTAATAAGTTTAAATGTATATAACTTATTGATTTGATGCTTGAATTCAAAAGGCCTTGAATTCAAGTATGACATATAGATAGGGGGAGTTAAGGTTAACTCTGTCATCAATTAATTGTCATCATAAAAAAGGGAGAGATTATTGAATCTCAGATTTTGATGATGAAATCAATTGGTAAATTATTTAATCAAATCTATATGTTGAGAAAAGTGTGCAGGATTAACTACGATAGCGATCAAGGCATAAAGCAAAATAATGTGCTAGAGTCAAGATCGAGAATTCTTTAGGAGTTCGAGAGTTTGTCGGGAGTCCGGAGGTAAATCAGAAGTGCCGCCGGAATTGGCCGACGAGAAGCTCATTAGAACTCACCAAGAAGATCATCGTAAAGTCCAAGAGCTTGCCGGGAGTCCACTGGAAGATTGCTGAGAGATCGTCAAAAGTCCGTTGGAAGATCGCCGGAAGAAACCTAGACTTATCATACTTGTTTTGTTTAGTGTATGCCTTAAAAATCATAGTTAGCATATAATTAGGCTTAGGTTTGGGAGGTAATCACAATAAACCTGTTAAGGGCCAATTGGGCCCATAATTGGATTGGTTGGGCCAAATTCAAGGCCCAACCAGGTTGTTGAACCCTGTCTAGCGGTGGCACCGCTAGACTGGGGTGATGGAACCGCCCAGGGCTTAGTCACTAAGAAGCTTGGGTGGTGGTACCACCCAAACTGAGCGGTGGTACCACCCAGATTGGGCGGTGGTATCGCCGGTAGTTATTACTACTATCAGGCGATGGTACCGCTAGAACCCAGTCTCCGAGGCTCTATTAGACGATAATACCACTAGACTGGGTAGTGGTACTACTCAGCACAGGCGATGGTACCGCCAATACCCCGGAAACCCAGTATGAGACAATTTTTTGCTCTAATTTTGAAGCCATTGGGATCTATAAATGCCACACCTTTTTTTTGCATAAAAGGGCAATCAAAGTGTGAAAAAAATCTTCAAGTGTTAGGGTGTAAAAGTATTGTAAAAGTGTAAAGAGTCCTCCTCCTCTCTCTTTTTAGTTTTGCAATCATCCAAGATGAGATGTGAGGCCTATAAGAGTTGTCTCCGAAACCCATGAAAAGGAAAAAAGCATTGTAAAGAGGTGGTTGGTCTTCGCTTATTAAAGGAAGATCATCAGTAGATGCTGGTGACCTCGACGGAGGAGGAATCGGGAGTGGATGCAAGTCGAATAACCGAACCACTATAAAATTGGTGTATTCTTTTCTTGGTGTGTACTTTATTTTTGCTGCATTCCACTTTACTTCATTGTAAACCGTGTAATCCCCTCTTCTCTACTCACTTACAAACATATTCAAGTCAAATGACATTTCAATATGGTTTTCGTCAAACTAAGAGTTTCATTGTACGAAGTTTTCCGAAAGCGATTAAATTTGTCGTTTTTATCCATTGCAAAGATTGGTGCGTAAAAACTTATATAACCAAAAAACTACATGTACAAGTGAGATTGTGTTATCTAGGGAGATCATATATCTCTAAATTTCTATAGATCTATGGGAGAGGATGAATGAGGTCAATTTGTCCTCCTCTCTAGTGGTGATCCACATGGCAGGAGCTACGAAGACACTTCTCAAATCCCTACACAATTCTCCTCGTAGCGTGCACCACACAATCAAGAAGGGGATGCCCCTTTTTTGCTGTCCACACACTCCAAATAGGGACTACAGGTTGAGAAGGAGATGGATAGAGGAGAATAGGAAGTGACAGGCAAAATAGACCTAGCTCATGGCCCTTTGGTTCCCTCCTATTTATAGAGGCCCTTATCAACTTAACCCTAATGGATCCTACCATATTGGGTACTAGATCTCCATCTAACTACCCAAGCCTCTTAGATTAATGGGTCTCTACCTAATAATCTCCAATTGGCAATTATTGGATCTCATCCATAAGATCCAATAATTCATGGGCTTATTGGGTATCCAATAAGATAGGGGCTCCAACGGATATCTTATATTCGAACTTCTACTCGTCGTAACACCTATCATATGTGTGTGACCTTTTAAGCTCAATATTGAGCTGGCCATGAGTCATACCTATTAAAACTCCCTCTAGCTTAGTGAATTTTTATCTCCATAATAATTCACTTGACTCAGACGTACTAAGCCACTACACTGTAGTCCTCATATCATATAGGGGAATCCAATCTTTTGAACATATCTATCCTTAGTTACCATATATCTATACTCCCTCATCCATCTAATACCTCAAAGACCATATATTGGGCATGATGCTATCAAGGCCATACAGTTTTTATTTAAATCTTGCTCTGATCGAATTCTCTTGGAGAACTCTTCACTATATACAAACTTATTAGAAGGGCCATGCTTTTTTTACTATAAAATATGTTTAAAATAGACATTGATTCTTATACATTCTCAATCAATATTTTGGAAAACACTAAGAATAATATTTTTTAAAAATATATACTTCAACTTTAAAAACCAAAAACATGAACATACTATTTATCATATTTATAAAAAATAAATATCATAAATCATATTAAGTGAAGATAACATATATATTATTTAAACTTCTATTGACATGCTAATTATGGTTCATATGACTCAAAAACTGTAATATCCAAATTATTATCATCCACTCGTCACTGCCACTATTAATCTTAGATCTAATCTGAAATTTATTCACAACTTATTTTGTAATTTATTGCTCCAAAACAAATGTGTCAGAAAACACACACACATAAATGTTGATTATAGTTGACAAGAATAATATATTAATAAAAAATGACTTATACATCTATACATGAAAATTGTAAACTTCGAATGTTCTGAGTGAAATCAAAATTTGACTGTTTTACTTTTTACAAAAAATAAATGACAAACACAGGAGCCCACAATCTTATGATAATCTATCAAATGACTTTATCAGCTAAGCTAGTAAGCATATTAAAAAACAAATGAGGACTTCACATCCTCGCATTTTCCCGCATTTTCTCAACAATATGTCTGCTCTTCTCCTCTATATGGCGTTTCTTTTCTTCCAGCTTATCTCCCATCATCTTTCCCAAATCCATCATCCTCGCATGCCTACTACTCTTCTTTGGCTTCTCATCTTCCTCAGGAGGTAGTAATGTTGGTTGATCGTCCCGTCGCAACTGCCTCCATGCTGCTTTGGCTATAGCTATTTTCGGTTTCACAGGTCAACAACGGTGTCTTCAACTAAGTATTCATGCCACCATGAGAATGATCAGGCGAAGCAGATCCAATCACTCTGCCACCGTAAGTGGAAGACTCGGGGAGGGCTTCCTACGCTGGCTGTTCGACATGTATTACATTCTTTGCTTCGTCAACTTTGTCATCAAGACTGTCTTTAGTTTTGTTACTACCATCAAGCTTTGGTTTGTCTTCCCTATTATGGGGCACCGGAAACTCAGGCCATGTCATTTCAGTGTTTTCATTGTTGATCCACATAAATGGTGCGACTTTTCTTGGTACCCAATCATCCTTTTCAGCCAACATCCATGGGATGCATATGGTTTCACAATTAGGGAGCACAAGACTGTCTCGAATTGCAGCCTGCAAAGTAACATTGCCATAAAGTTAGACGAGCTTCTAAAAGCGCAAGATACTACATAAAAACTCGTACCAAGTTCCTGAGCTATTATACTAACATTTCAGACAAACGAAATATGAACATAGAACTAATATAGCACCTTAAATCGATTGCTGATAAGCAAAGCAATGTGGCTGCTGGTTATTTTCCGATCCCCAACTGAAGACTCCAAATTCCAATCTAATTCTGGCATTGTTGTGAAGCCAAACCATAGTTGATCAGAAGGTGGTGGCTTTATATATAAGCGCAATGTCCCACGAAGTGAAATGACTCGTATTGACAAAGAAAGTGGTACCTTTTGCAGAAACACAAATGTCATCCTTATAAAATGACTCTAAAATTATGTGGATCTGAACTTAAATGTTCAAATTGTAGAAAACAGCAAATGGATTCAACAAAGAAGAGAGAGCCATTGAGCACAAAATTGATGCTAAATTATAGAAAAAATCAAAGCACAAAAGAAAAAGTTATCAAATAAGTCAGTCCGTACAATAAGGAAAGTACTTCAATCAGTACAAATTACAAGTATATAACATGCATATCCTGTTATTTCATTACCATCAGACTGTAAGATTACTCATTTTCACTGGGCTAAAACCTTTTTGATGAGAACACGACATTCCCCTATATATAGTATTACTCACTGAGCTCAAAACTGCTTGTAAATATATATACTATTACTCATCTTCACTAGAGCTCCAAAATTCCCCTATCTAGTTTCTTCATCAGGGTACTGGTCTAAACATCAGTTGATAAAAGGGATGTCTCTGTGATCCTATACGAGAGCAAATATGAGTCAGACAAAGTCAACATGGAAAGGACATTAAAGGGAATTAAGTGGCTGTCTATGTGATCCAACTGTAGTTTCCCAATGTGCTTCTTAAACAACTAATTCCGTTATGAAGAACCGGAGTATAATAATGTTGAAAAAGTGATAAAAAAGATCCATCAACATCTTTATCACATCTGTTTTCAAGTAATAGATTTCCAACTGCAAGTATCATATTATCGAAATTAATTATCTTTTAAGAAATATCAACTTTCTGAAATACATTATACTGAGACAAACCTGTGAAACTTGATTAGCAAGAGAATGTAGGATGGCCTTCCATCTAGACACATGACCCGAAGTCCAACTGGCACTCTTGGAGTTTCTAAGGCCATCTGAATAACAATACTTGCTAAATTTAGTGACAGAAAAATCTACAATGAATATTTTCTTATTCACTTGGTGCTAATATGCATCTCCACGTCCTACCTTACTGCATATATCTTTGTGTGAAGACAAACATATGTTATAAGATGCACAATTTTTTACCAAAAGCAAAAAATTACACTATAAAAATTGAAAGAATGATAGTATGATGATATGAGAACAGAATACATGACAGAATGAAATTATTTCAGGTACACACAATTTCATTTGTCAAGGCCTGTAAAACACAAATTTGAAGAAATATCAAATGAGTAAAGTTATCGATACCCATATAACAAGTCTTAAAGGCAAAGAAAGAATTTTTTTAATAGTTGATCCAGATAGCATTGTTTCTTGTCAAAACATATTGGCCAGAATATCAACTTACAAGTACAAAAACTATCTTTATTATGCTCAATAACAAGGTTCGCCACACCGCAACATCGGGCGGTACATATTGGTCTGACAGGGGACTGGTACAGGCATTATTTCAGTACGCCCTACCATGTGTTGGTATGCTCGGTATAACTCGGGACAGTTCGGTATATACCATAACAACAGCTGGTCAATACACCGGTACAAACTGATAAGATGAACAATACTCAAAGGTATAAAAGTTCTGTTATGTACCATCCATCAAATGGATCATGCTATCCAAATGTGATTAAAGGTCTCATTTCATCCTAATAAGCTAAATCTATACCATATCACCTTAGACTTTTAGCATATACAACCCACATGAGAAGTCGTACTTATTAAAAACATGCTATATTAAGTGGTTGATTCACAGTAGGGGTCACATACCTCAGGATGAAGCAAGAGATCGTTGTTGGAGGAAGTAGAACACATTTCAAGTGTTTTCTAATACTGGTTTACTGTGGCATTTTTTTTTCTACTTTTTTTTCACTTATCTTCCAGTGAGAGACAAGTCAAATTCAGAGAGGATATGGATCATCAAAGTTTATCTTTTTTTGTTCTAGGGGGCATTACTAAATCTCATTATAATGTCAAAATACATTGGAAGGTGATTCATAGTTTTGAATTTAAACTTGCATTTGAAACATAATTTAAACATGGCATAACAAATATAGTTCACAGAGCATGGAATAATCAATTAGCCACCTAATATAGTAAAATGTGTTGAATCTCGTATTTTGATGATGAAACTACTTGATATATGTTTATGATTTAATCTGCGTTTTGAGTGACGCAGGATGCTTTGATCAGAATGAGACAATTAAAGCAGGAAAATCATGTCAGAAGATTGGACTTCGGGCCGGTGGATCGGTCGACGTATC